TTTATATATATTATCGTATGTCCGTGTTCTATGGGTATATATATATACATGTGTATATATATATATATATATATATATATATATATATATATATATATATATAACAGTATTTTTATTATATATATATAATATAAATATTTACAATATATATATATATATATATATATATATATATATTTATATAAATATATATATATCTTTACACATTGCATATAAATTTCAAGAACAGAAAAACAAATGATATATCTGTGATCAAATTTTATATTATTGTTATTAATGTTGTTGTTATTATTATTATTCGATTTTTTTGCTTTTTTCATATCTTTAGGGTTTAGGCAATACTTGTTTCATATTTAATATATATATATATATATGAGTGTGTGTGTGTTTATGTGTGTGTGTGTGTGTTTGTGCCACAGTCCGTCCTCCTTTCATGACGGTATGGGCCAGTGCTCTCCAAGCTTCGAGGTTGCTAACGGGACAAAAAAAACAGGGCTGCCTGCTTGCTCCTCTATAGTTCAATACTTATCTCTCCTTAATGTTACGGGTCGCTGTTCAGAGTTGAAATTTGTTATCGCACCGATCGCGACGACCTCAACATCAGCAGACGCTTGCAGGCAAAGACTAAGGTTAAAGGTTAGATGGCCCCCGTTCGTGACCTCCTTTTTGTCATGAAGCTTTTCGGCGTTCGGATTGGAGAAGGAAATGCAAGTCCGCGGCCGATGGATTTAAAAGAATTTGAAAACGCCGTAAACGCGACGTCCAAAGCGGCAGTGGCATGGAAGCGTGGGTCTGCCAGTTTTATTCACGGGATGCCTGTCATGAATTGGACTCTTTGCTCACGTAAAGATCCACCGATGACTGTGCCGTCCATATGAGTGTATGTGTTTGTGTGTGTGTGTGTGGTGTGTGGGTATGTGTGTTTTTTTCGTTTTTATACTACGCAACTAATAGTATTTTTATTATTTAATATTATTAATGTTTTTTTTATTATTATTTTTAATGGCTTTAGTCGTGGCTTTATGATATTTTGCTTGTGGAGAAGATAATTTTTTTTCTGAGTCATTACCTGGAAGAATGAAAATGAATTTGATCATTTTATTATTGAATAATGTTCAAAAAAATATATAAAAGGTTAAAATATTTGTTTGTTTTGATAAATAATTAAAAATAATTTAATGTATAATAAGTTTTATGTAAAAATTATTTAAATAATCACTTCAACATAAAAGAGATATTATATAAAAAATTATTAACTTTTTAAATGGTTTTTTTATTACTTTATTCAACACTTTAAATTGTTTTTCATTAAAATTGTATTCTACATAAAAGTTTGCCGCCGTAAACTTTTGTATTTACAATCTTTTCGCAATTCTATAGCGCTCTATACATTTGATTAATCGCTAGATAATAATTTTCACATTTACAGTTGTAAAATCTTTTACAGCTGTTAAAAGTGTTTTTTTTTACAATTTTTTGGTATCTAGGGTATCTTGGACTGTATATATAATCTTTCATCAGATTCGTACCTGATTAGTTAATGTTGAGTATCGGCCTTTAGTGACTCAAACTTTTTGGTTACCGCTTACGCTGTTTATTCACATTTGAGAAAATCTCATCACATGTAAGTTATTTATGTCTAAATTTTGTTTCAATTTTTTTTTAGACATAATTTATTTTCTATTTTGATTTTGTTCGATGGTTTGCTCTGTTTTGTGGAGATTTTGTTGCGGTAGTTATGACGAATCGAGTGTGTGGACGCCATGACAGTTTAAAATTACATTTTGACGAGAACGAAGTTAATCGTTGCAAATTCATTTCAATGTTATTTTTTACTTATTTAATTTTTAATTTAAAATAATTTCATAAAGTTTTTTGTTCGAGATGTAAAAATAACTATTTACTTAGTAATCTCCGTGATTGGCATGATCGGTCAGATCAGATCAGTGGGTCGTTAGTTGTCACGTGATGCATGTGTTCATTTCAGTCACGTAAGCTCACGCATGGGGTCATTCAGTTCAGTTCTGTTCTGTCCGGCCCAGACGGACATGCATCCATCGAATTCTTTCTGTTTCTCTTTAAAAAATAATTTTTTTCTTTAAAATTTAACTAATCTGAACAAGACTCCGCCTAGTTTTAATGTGGGGTATGCACACTGCTGAGCTGATCAGGTGGGAGATATTAGGCAATCTAGACCTCACATACTGTCAGTCGGTCAATTCAGTGTAGCACTTGTTGTAGATCCTTTGCTAAAACTGCGCCCCAAAGCAAAGAGAGAGTGACAGAACAAACTAAAGAAATGAAAATGATTAAATGGTATCCGATGGTTATGTCGAAAAATATCAAAATACATCATTGTAATTTTTGATAAAAAAATTTCACTCGATGTTTCAATTTGTTTATTTTTATATTTTAAAAAGTTCTATGACATTTAATATCCTTTGTGTTATGCAGTGTACTGAAACCATAATAATTTGAAATTATTATGGCTCGTCTTTATATTGGAAAGCTGCCAAGCTCAGCCAGGGAAAGAGATTTGGAGAAGTTCTTCAAGGGGTATGGTAGAATCAGGGAGGTGCTCCTCAAAGTCGGATATGGATTTGTGGTTAGTTGTCATTTTATTTGTCTGGAAAATTCTAAAATTTGTTTTTATTCTTTTCATTTGTAATGTACTTAATCAGCGTCCTGATTTGAATTCGCCTAAATAATAAATTTTCAAAATTGTGAAAAGGAATTCGATGATGAACGTGATGCGGACGATGCTTGTTATGACCTCAATGGCAAGACACTGCTTGGGGAGAAATTAGTAATCGAGCATGCAAAGACACCCAGTGAGAAAGCCAGGTCAGCAAGAGAGAGAGACTATTACAGAGGAAGGTTTGTACATGATGTGTATTTGTGTGTGTCTATTTGTTTCTATTATTTTCATTTATGAAACAAGTTTATATATTTACACCTGATGTTTAATGACTGGTTTAACATTCATCAATTTCACTAATCCAGCAGTAGATTTGGAAGTCGCTATCGTGGTCCACCGGTTAGGACTGATCACAGAGTCAGGATTGAGAATGTCTCATCTAGGACTAGTTGGCAGGTTCCTTAACAAGAAAATAAAATTTCATCTGTTTAGAGAAAATAAAATTAATATTACTACTCTTTATTGAACATTTGAAGTAAATGTTTTATGATGATTTGTTGTGATGACTATGATAATAATTCTGATGAAAAATATTTTACAGGATCTAAAAAGCTACTTGAACACAGCTGGAGAGGTGACATTTGCTGATTGCCACAAAGATAGAGAGAATGAAGGGTAAGTTAGACTTTGTTTCTAAAATGTTCTACTTAGATGTCATATGAGTTATTTTTTATAGTTGTTGATATTGATTCCCATTTTTTTGTTTTAATGATCATTGATATTAATTAATATTTTATCTTCCAATTGTTCATTCTCTAATCTAAATTCATCCTTCTATCCACTAATCAGGATAGCTGAGTTTGCCACTCGTGGAGACATGAAGAATGCCATCACCAAATTGGACAAAAGTGAACTTCACGGCCGAAGAATTCGTCTGTATGAAGATTCTAGAAGCAACAGAAGAAGAGGGTGAGTTTAAATTATTTTTATTATTTTATCAAAAAAACTATTATAGCTAGTACTTTATTTTTAAAAGTATTAGCAAAACCTTTCACTGTATGTAAGCAAATTTATTATTGTTCAATATATTGAATTTTGTTCTATATTTTTTTTTCAGACGTAGTTCCTCGAGAAGCAGAAGGCGCAGTCGTAGCAGACGCCGTTCTTCTAGCAGAAGAAGGTCAAGATCAAGGTCCAGAAAATCTAGGTCGAGATCAAAGAAATCTAGGTCGAGATCTGGATCTAAGAAATCTAGGTCGAGATCTGGCTCTAAGAAATCAAAATCGCGATCTAGGTCTGTCAAAAAATCTCGATCTAGATCAGTCTCAAACAAGAGATCCAGATCCGGGTCAAGGAAAAGGTCACGAAGCAGGTCAAGAAGTGGAGGTCGTCGAGCTGACAGCAGTCGAAGAAGAGATGATAGTAGGGGTAGAGATAGACGAAGAGACAGTCGTGATAATAGCAGAAGCAGAGACAGGAGAGAGGATAAGAGTCGTAGTCGCGATCGTCGTGACGATGGAAGTCGTGGCAGAGATCGTAGAGATGGAAGTCGAGATAGAAGGGATGAGAGCAGAAGCAAAAGGAGGGATAGCAGATCTAGATCAAAGAGCCCTGAACGCCGTGAAAGCCACAGTCGCAGTAGAAGCAGAGAGGATGCCAACGGCAGAAAAAATTGCGTCTCCAAGTCGAGAAGTAGGGAAGGTGATAAATCGAAAGATGCTACTCAAGATGAAAGAAGCAAGAGCAGAGACAAACCAGCCCATGACAGCAGAAGTCCAAGCAGAGAGAGAGTCCGTCATGACGATCACGAAGATGACGACGATAAAGATAAGTCCATGGATGTCGATAGACGGTCTCACAGTAGAAGCCCCACGCCCCCTCCTAAACAGAAACACGAAAGCAGCTACAGCAGAAGTCCAGAGAGGAGAAGTAGATCAAAGAGTAAAGACATAGATGATAAAATTTCAGGCAAAATCATGAATGGCCGACCGAGTGTCCCAAGCGAAGATGCATCCCAGCCAAAGGGAAAGGGACGTATGGATAGCAGTAGTCGTAGTAGATCAAGAAGCAAAGATGATGAACCTAAAAAATTTGCTCCTGTCATTAGGAAGGAGGAGGAAGAGGAGGAAGATGCCAGGATGAGTAGGTCTCCGAGTCCTGAACAGAGGAAGGTTACAAAAGGTAGGTTGTTTATTCTTTTCTGTCTTATGATTAATTAAGAGTATTTGTTCCATTCATTTTTCATTAATATGTAAGTGTCATTAAATTATTAAATAAATCAATTTCAGAAGACAAAAAAGCCAAAGACTCGAATGATGAGGAGGAGGAAGAAGAAGAGAAAAGTCGCCAAAGTCGTAGCAAAGACAGAAAGAAGAACAAAAAAAGAGGAAAGCACGGATCTGAGAGTCCTGCAAAGTCTAAAAAAGAGAAGAAGAAGAAGAAGGGAAGTCGTAGTCGCAGCTCGAGCAAGCACAAGAAGTCAAAGAAGAGTAAGAAGAAGTCGTCAAAGAGAAAGCCATCTGCAAGTTCTGGAGATTCAAGGAGTAGGAGTCCTCCGGGAAAAAATGGCGCAGATTCTGGAAGAAAAAGTAGGAAAGATTCAGCTGGTGGTGAAGATGACGAAAAAACTTCAAAGAAATCGACAGCAACAGCAGCCGCTGCAAAGTCAAGATCTCCATCCAGCAGTGAAGAGAGAGCATCTCTGAAGAAAAAAGATGGCAAGAAATTGAGTGAAGTTGTCTCAACATCGAGAAAGAGATCGGCCAGTAGTCGATCGTCTGCAAGTCCTCCAAAGAAGAGAAAATCGGAAGAAAGTAGTCCTGAACCTCAAAAGAGACGTAGATCGAGATCAAACTCGTCTGATTCCTCTGGCGACGAACGATCAAGTAATAAGAAAAAACCGTCCAGAGGCGAGGCAAAGGATAGCAAAAAGAAAAAGAGAAGGGCAGATAGCAGCGATCATTCAGATTAATTGGGGTTGTCATCACCATTCTTTTGTTTCTTCGGCATGTCGACGTGTTTTCTGCCCTTCATCGCACTTTATTCTCTTGTTTTGTGTATGTGCGTATGTACTTGTGTGTGTACAAAATTTACAGTATGTGTGTACGTGCGTTGTGTGCATATTATGTTTTATAATACGATCGTTACAATTTAGTTCTTTCCTCGAAATTATTCCAAAACTTTTAGACTTTGTTTACTCTGTTTGGTAAAGTGATGGATTAAGTAAATAAAAGCTGTGTATAAGGTTCTATTGATTTTTAAATCATCCGCTTTTTGTGTTCTTTCTGCTACTTTGACATTGTAGTAATGGTGTCTTGTTCATTTCTGTTAATTACTAATTAGTCTGGATCTTTTAGTAAATTTTATGGCAAAACGTGAGGAAATGTTGGCGTCCTATGGCTATGTTAGTACTTATTTTATTATTTTATACTAGTATTTTATAATTCTCATTAAAAGAGCTTTGTTGGAATTGGTCAGAGGAGTGTTTGTATTTGTAACATGCGTGTGTGTGTTCGTCTCGCATAGATTTTAAAATTTTAATTGAAGTAAATAGGTTATAATTAAAACTGCTAAAGTGCTTCGATGTTTGAAACCGGTGCGGGTAAGTAAAGAATAAATGAATGGTAATTGGTATGTGTAGTGATGTACGTTACTGTTTACAATCGTAATACAATTTACAATATTTAACAATGATTCAAGGTTTTAACAAAAAGCAAATGAAAGAGAACTATAAATTATTCAATGAAGTAAAATTGAGGGAATGGAGAATGATGATTATCACAACTGCACGATATCATTATCAGGAGCACTGCTGCCGGAATTGGCTTTCACTAGTTTACTAAACATGCTATTTGGATCGTTTAGAAGATAAGTCGGATCGTCGAATTCTACGAGCTGGCCCCCGCACATCACTAGAATTCGGTCACTATCCATGATTGTGGACAAGCGGTGTGCTATCGTTAATACGGTTTTACCTAATTTGGAGATGATTTTATTTGATTGGTTGGATGGAAAGCGGATGAATGAATGAATAAATGAATGGATAGATAGATAAATACCGTGAAATTGTTCTTTTATTGTCCTCTGTATCAAGTTATCCGTCGCGATATCCACATTGGCTGTTGCTTCGTCTATGCATAATATCTGAGATGATACCACAGATGATACATACGATAACAATAATAATATATATATATATATGATGATACAGGTGATGGATATCGTTATCATTTATAGTATCTACCGGTTACGCACGCTTACAATGATATCGCCGGCGATGATGAAAATTAGGATGATGATTGTTGACTGTCTTAAGTGTTGAAATGATATCGGTAGTTTTGATAACAATCACCGATGATGATGATGATGATGGTAGTTATGATGATGATTAATTATTAATGCTGACCTATCAATCCTTACCTGTGTATCGGCTAGTAGCGTTCTAGCTAAGCAAAGCAGCTGTCTTTGCCCGACGCTAAACTGCTGCCCCCTCTCTTCAACAATGAACCCTAACCCTCCAAGTCTTGCCACCACGTCCGCCATGTTGCATTTCGCTAAACTTCGCTCTATCGTTTCGTCCGATTGTAGACTGTCTAGATCGAGATTTTCCCTAATAGTTCCGCCAAATAAGAAGGGTTCTTGGGGTATGACCGCTATTTTTGATCTTTTTTCGGGGGATGGTGAATCAAAGTGAAAGTTTAACTGTTAGATAATAATGACAACAAAAATTTAACTAATAATCAAATCAAAATCGATGATGATGATCATTCAGTTCACCAACTAACCTGAACTTTCTCAAATCCAACGCAGAACAATCTACCCCATCAACGAATATGGCACCGCTGTTGAGGGGTACAAGCCTCATTAGAGCTAAAAATAGACTGGACTTTCCAGAACCCGTTCGACCAATCACACCAATTCTTTCGCCTGGCCTCGTCTCAAAGCTCACCTGATTGGTTGGTTAATTATAACCGCTATCATTATCGTCGAAATTATCTGTATTATTTGTTATAATTAACATAATTGTATTTATTTTCCTAATCAAAACTAACATTCTTAATAGCCGGAGGAAGATGTGGGCGGTACTTAACTGTGACGTCAGTGAATTTGACCACGCCTACCGTAGGCCAGTCAGGAGGAATCTGATCAGTGATTGCACAGAACAGTACTATATTTGATTTATTTAAAATCAAAATTTTATTCAAATTTTTAACTTGGAGAAACTTTTTTTAATCTAAAAACATAATTGACACATTTACATAGTCTTTCACTTCACTGAACACACTCCGTCCCCAACCTCATTAGCATAATTAAGCCCCGCCTCTTCCTCCATCGGTATATCTTTAATGTATTCATCCAGCCTCTCTACGCTTATCATCATCTTCTCGGTTTCGGTGAATGACAGAATGAGGCCACCAAGTAAATTTGTGATTGAAAGAACGTAAGAAATTGCCAGACCCACCAGAGCTGATAGCAATGATGATGAGGACGACGATGATGGGGGTGACGACGACGACGATGTTGTTGTCGTTGGTAATGTTAACAAACATTGTAATGTAAATGATGATGGTAATGCGCTTAAAATGACGCACGTATGATGTGTGTGTGTGTGTGTGTGTGTGTGTAAATAAGACACGCACGCACGCATGTATGTATGTATGAACGTATGTGCGCGCGTGTCTCAACTGCAGATGTTAATTCATCATTATTCTTTAAAAAACCAAGCTGAGAGATAGAAGAGGGAATCCGTAATATGACGTGTAATGTAGAATGTGCATGCGTGCATGTAGCCCCTGTGCATATACGTGTGCATGCTTATCCCATTCCTAACTCACCCGGATCAACACTTCCGAACTGATTCTGTAAGACGGCCAGGATCGAGACTCCAGCAATTAAAGCGACACCAATCATCTGGAATCGAATGTTCAGCCATTGGGCTATTGTTCTGCTGGCGAACTGAGCGCGCTGGTTCAAATCCAGACATCGGATGAATTCAAGATGGAACCTGTGTATTTTTTGGTTTATAATTATTTGTTGTTTTATATTTATTGTTATCTATTCTTATTTATATATTTTTCTATTTATTTATTAATTTTTCGTGTCTAAACAGTAAGCGCTAAGCAGAATATGTTTAAGAACACTTGTCTATCCCTTAAATAACTAACTAAATCTATAGCATAAAATCATAAAAAAAATGCACCAAAATCTGCCAACAAATTCACCAAACTCCACCAAAACGATTGAGAAAAACCCCAAAACCGCGACACACAAAAAGCCGAACGACACATCAACAATCTGACCTTTTTGCCTGCCTGTGTGCCCTAATTACGGCCAGACCAATCAGAGTTTCGGAAAATCGGGCATAGACAGGTGATTGGGTGACGCAGGTAACCCTTTTTAGTTCTCTGGAGGTGTGGCGATAATACCTCTAGATGAAAAATTACATGGAATAATTTTCATCTGTTATATTTATTTTTAAATATAACAAATTATTGTAACCATTGAAGGATTAAGATCATTAACAAGATTTGGTTTTGTGGAAAAATTGGTTGCGGTCACAAAATAACAATGCTACAACTACAACTACTGCTACTACTATTAATGCTGCTGCTGCTACTACTACTGCTACTTCTACTACTACTACTACTATTACTACTACTACTACTTCTTCTTCTACTACAACTACTAGTAATAATAATAGCACCAACGCCAAAAACCCCATCACATCCCTAATTTTACTAATTTGAAAAAAAAATGATTCCAACCTGAATAAAATAGTACACGACAGAAAGAGCCAAAATCAAGATGGCCGAAAACGGCAGCCCATAGCAACAAATTGCTATGGAACCAAAGATGCCAAATAGCTGAGCGAGAAAGATATTAAATATGAACGGAAGTGAATCGTCTATTGAAAAAACATCGGATGAGAATCTGTTTATCAATCTTCCCATTGGTGTGGTGTCGAAGAACATTATGGATGCCTGTTTTTTATTGGTTGAGGCAAAAAATTTGTGTGATTTGATTGGTTAATTAAAAAAAATTGACTGATTTGATTAGCTGTAACAAAAAATTTGAGTGATTTGATTGGTTGTAACCAAAATTTAAGTGATTAGATTGGATGACCGTCTTCAATTGATTAATGATTGATTAAGGTGGTAGTATTTTTCAATTTGATTGGCTGTGGTGGTAATGAGAAATGATTTGATTGGCTGACGTACCAATGCTGAGCGACTCAATTGATAAATTTAATTTAACAAAATGGTTGCATCACTTTTAAAATTAAACCAATCAGCAAATAAAACCAATAAGTAAATCAACAAATAAATCAATCAACCAACCAATCAACCAACCAATCAACCAATCAACCAGCCAATCAATCAGCCAATCAACCAACCAACCAATCAACCAACCAACCAATCAACCAACCAACCAACCAACCATCCAATCAATCAGCCAATCAACCAATCAATCAATCAACCAACCAATCAATCAACCAATCAACCAACCAATCAACCAACCAATCTGGAGTACCTTAAAGACACTGTCGATCAGCTGATTATGCATAACCCTGGCGGCTTCTATACCACCGTATGCAAAGAGCAAGGCCCTGAATATTGTCGCTATAGCCGATGTAGCCGCCAGAATAGCGTATACTGTCATGTAAAACTTGATGTTGTTGTTGTTTTCGTCGAAGTTGTTGTTGTTGTTGCTGTTGTTGTTGTTGTCGTTGTTCAGGTCATTCATGAGTACATTGACGGAGGCGGTGGATCTGAAAAATTATATTTAATAATTATATCATCATTATTATTATCATTATTATTATTATTATTATCATCAAAAATCATCATCGTCGTCCTCATCATTGGTATAATAATAATAATGATGGTAATAATAATAATGATGATAATAATAACAATAATAATAATAATAATAATAATAATTTCCAGCTTACCTATAATAAAAATCCATCAATATAATCTCGTCAGTGTAGGCTCCACCGGTCAGCCAATCAGATCTCTCGGATTTGTTTAAATCGGCCAATGGCAAACTAGCGTCTGGCAATTTGTTTAACCTCAGGTAAATACTGAACGCAGATTGGTCGCTGGTGCTGTTGGAGGTGGAATTTGATTGGTCGACGGCGTGGGTCACCCAGTATGAGAGCCACCAATCGCACGAATTTCTGGAAGCTAAAAATATTTGTAGATTCAAACTGAACGACCAATAAATTGAACATTATTATTATTATTATTACTATCGTCATCATCATCATTATTATCATCATCATCACCACCACCATCATCACCACCATCATCATCATCTACACCATCATCATCATTATTATTATCATCACCATCATCATCAAAGTCGTCTTCGTCATCATCATCATCTACACCATCATCATCATTATCATCATCATCACCATCATCATCATCATCATCATTACCACCACCATCATCATCATCATCACCACCAGCCTTGCATAAAAAGCAAAGAAAGAAGAACAGAGATGGCTAAGCAGTGGCCAACGGCCTTCCAATAAGTTACATAAACTGATATCTTCAAATTTCCTAACTTATCATTCTCGTCATCCTCATCATCATTCTCGCCGTTGTCATCAATGACGTCATTATAGTTATTATTGTTGTTATTATAGTTATTATTATTAATATTATTATTATTACTATTACTACTATTATTAACATTGTTATTGTTGCTATTGTTGAAGTCGCCATCGGTGCTGTTGTTGTTACTGTTAGAACTAGCGCAGTTCTGTGCTACACTGCTGCTCATTTGATGTGGTTGTCGTTGTTGTTGTTGATGTTGTTGATGTTGTTGTTGTTGCTGTTGATGTTGTTGCTGTTGATGTTGTTGCTGTTGATGTTGTTGCTGTTGTTGTTGCTGATGATGATGTTGTTGTTGAAACTCTTCAAAATCAATTTCGCTAGGTGATGCTGAGTTCAAATTTTATTATCACTGCTATTATTATTATCATCATCATCTAAAACAACCAACCAGCCAACCAACCACCAACCAACCAACCACCAACCAACCAACCACCAACCAACCAACCAACCAACCAACCAACCAACCAACCAACCAACCAACCAACCAACCAACCAACCAGCCAACCAACCAACCAACCAACCAGCCAAACCAACCACATCACGCATTACTGACCCACTTTTTTGACCCTCCCCCTCTTCATGACGATTATGGCGTCAGCCTCATTCAAGTAGCTCAAATGATGAGTCACGACGATACGCGTGACGTCACGTAGGTGGGTCAT